ATTGACACTTTTGACGCGAATCACATTCACTACTAATGACTTAAGCAGAAGGACCACCCGCCCTTTACGAAATTTTCCCGTCGCGTCTCGGGAATAACCTTCTCTGACAAAGTTTTCCCGCCATAACGTAAGGTACTTGTAATTGAGGACCTCCCCAGACTATTGGAAAGGCGTGAAGAAGTGAATAAGACAAGGCAAGCAGCTATAAAATGCACCTATGATGGAACTCGCAAGCCCTCCAGATTTAGCCGTATTTTGGCTACGCCTTTGTTGATTGCATTCATGAGATGTGCTCAATAGGACACTTGGGAAAGGGAGTTGAATTCCCCGAAATACATCAGAATGTGTGGGTGTTCTCGTTTCAGTGAAGTATACATCTTTCTTATTTATGAAGAAGTAACTTGGTGTATCGGTTTGTTATTTTTTGGACGGCTATGCCAACGGCACCAGTTCAACTGAAGATGAGAGAGCAGGGCCTGCGGTGATTCGGGCATGTACTAAGAAGGCCACAGAGCATTCGATAATAGAGGCAATGGAGTTCGAGGCTCAAGGTAGGCGACCATGAGGAGCCCCAAAGAAGAATTGGCGGGACGCGATCAAGAAGAATAGAATTGAACGGAGACGGCTGACAAAAACAGCAGACCCTGCGACGGCGCGGGATTAACGCTAAGGAGAAGAAGATATAAATAGTAACTTGGTGGGTAGGTTAATGGAGCAGAGTCAGTACTGCAGAGTGAAGTGAGTAATGTGAAGTGGAGTGGAGACTTCAAAATGGTGATTTCTACCTTTACTGACACCGTGCCCTGTATGTCTATACAAAAATCGGAGATGATAATGTAGTTGAGAGACATTCCCTTTTTTTCATCTTTGAATGCTATAGCGCAGATAAGGAAGTGAGCCTATAATTGAGCTCAAGAACTTTTTTTCAGCCGAGAACATACAGTTTTTTGACATGAGCTTCAGCAGTGAAGGAGCACGGGGTGGGTGAGGTGCACAACCCCACCCACCGGTCTGCACAGTTCCCAGAATAAGAGTGGATTCTTCTTCTAGAGATCAGCTACTAGCTCATGCCCTTGTTTCATGGGATGAGCAAGGCTAATGAAATTCAATTTAGAGGTGAATGTGCTCCGTATTTCCTAAACGGATATACATAAAATGCTACCAAATTCCTTCAAAACCAAATATGGAAGTCGTTATATGTAGGGCGAGCTCAGAACTCTCGACCCATACTTCTGCCGCTAAGCACAGCCTTTAATTTTCTTTTACACTGGTAACTGATAGGGTGTTCCGCAATACACACGTAGTTTTTGCAGTCTTCTGAGGTTAGGATGACCCTAGCTGGGGCACCTACAACTGCACCAAGCCCCCCCCCCCATATATCGGTAGATGCTCTTGCTCTTTTTAGCGTCACCTTCAGCGTTATGCCCCATTGCTACTACTTTATCTTGCAATTTCGTTGTCAGTTCCATGCTTGATCTTCCTATATCAGGCCTTTGCAGAATCCAGGGATGTTTGGTTACGAACTGTTACATGTTACGAAGTTTGCAAGTTCATGGACCATCAATGGACCAAATAAATCAGTGAACCAAACATCCGTTTGGCACCGCTACCTCAGATGCTTCCCTATTCCTACAGGCAAACTGTTTTAAGAATTTTCGATAGTGTAGGTTGGCCTGGAGTTCCATCCCCTGCTTCCCTGAGAACCATATATTTAGGTATTTCAGCTATGAGAAGCAGTCGACTGGACCAAATAAATCAGTGAACCAAACATCCGTTTGGCACCGCTACCTCAGATGCTTCCCTATTCCTACAGGCAAACTGTTTTAAGAATTTTCGATAGTGTAGGTTGGCCTGGAGTTCCATCCCCTGCTTCCCTGAGAACCATATATTTAGGTATTTCAGCTTTGAGAAGCAGTCGACTGGGTTCCTCAGGCTCGTTTCTCTGAAAATGTTTGAAATTGGATAGTCTTCTGCAACACAGGATTTCCCGTCATGCAGAACGTTCCGACCTTTAAAGCGATATTGCCGAATCAGAGATGGGAGATTTTGAAATACTTAAAATTTATCGAATAAATTAAGAACTCTATTTCTTTGCATTTCAGTAATCCCCGTAGACGTCGAGATCACAATGGCTGCCAGATGGAGAGGCACAGTCATTGTAGCACATGCTGTCCTGCAAATAAATAAGATATGTCTACTACATGAAGAGTTCAATTTGAACATACTCGTTTTTGCCGTGGATAGTCATCGACCAGAAGTTGTTCTCCTTTCAATTCAGCCGACTTCTTAGCATCAAGTCGAATTCTGAGGTTGTCGAGTGAACGTCGCTTACGGCCTCCACCACCACAACCGCAGCAACCACAACCTGGAAGAATACTTGCTGGTTTTACTACTCCTCTGACATGGCACATGTACCTTACCGCATCCGCAGCAAGGCCTGCAACATGTGCAGCATCGAGTACAACAACAAGTGCGGCAACAGGTACATCTACAGCAGCACCTGAAAAGCTCTCTTGCAGACCGTCTCCCAGTACGAATCGTTAAGGCGAACGCCCATTTCTCCCTCGGCCCCAGGAGCGGTCCTTGCTATGATTGTCGTAGACTTTTTTTTTTATAAATTTGCTTGCCTTCGAACAAAATTTCTTGTCTTCAGCCAGAATTTCTTTCTGCGCAGGTAATTTTGGGGCTTAGCCCACTGTTATAGACTCAATAGCTTGGAAAAAAATCGACTCGAAAATAAAGTTAACGGTAGTTTACAACGGAATTTAAATGAAACTGCTCGAAACACCGCACGTTCCGAAGTTGGAAGAGGGTACCTGTTCTACGTACCGTGGCCTACAGCAGCAGCAGCCACAGCCGCCTCCTCCACCACATCCGCAACATCCACATCCACATCCGCCACCACCTTGCCTTTTCACGCGTCCTGCGCCATCCGTGGTAACTGCCGTGCTGTTTTCTGACGAAGCGTTGTCCAGTAAGCGCACAGCAGTTTCTGTTGGTGCTCCCTAAACGTTTTTATCATCAGAGTTCAAACATCATCGTTTTTCAAAGGAATCTGGTAAAAGATTTCTGAAAAATCCGAACCTGAACTTCGTAGAAGAACGCAGCAAGTCCGATAAGGAGAGCAGTCGAGAGAATTTTATGAAAAGTAGTCATTAGACAGAGGTAAAGAATGGAACAGTTTCAGCCAAGGTGCTTAGCCACTGCCGGCATTTCTTATATATACTCTAACGTCAGGATATGTCCGGTCACTCGGGACAAGCTGTCAGCGCATGACCGGTTGCAGGACGACGCAGCGATCCGGCCACGATCTTCCGGCTTGGCCTTCCTTGAGCTCGAACCATTCTAAATGCTTTATTTCTTTCCGATAAAAGGTGCCACTTGAAAGAGGAATGATCACGATTCTGAGTATTTATATTTTCTACATGTAGTAAGTAGCGCAGTGCATCAATCCCTCTAATTGGATAAACGCTTCAATTGTTTACACCAGTGGATGCAAGGATATTTGTACTTGCTTTTACGACATCAAAAACAATGTAATTCCCCGGCAACCGGAAGAAATAGTGACTTTCATTTCTCTAATGGAAGGCTGTAAACATAGAGCATTGGCAGTTCCCTGACCATTTTAAAACTCTGCCCTCAGGATGGTCTACACTGGGCTCATAAAAAGATAGGCCAACAAAATTTAAAACTCTGTTCCTGAAAAAGTGTGGTTCGTTGATAGGATCACAGAAGAACTGTTTGAAACTGGGCAACATTTTTTACCGGCTAACAGCACACAGCTTATGACGAGGGTGGCTATGAGAACAATTCAGGGTTTATGGGGAGCAACCGATTTCCATATAGCCTACACCTTTGAAGGCATACCTTCATGTGTGAAACACTATCATGAGAGACTTTTCATAAAATTTCTCTCAGCAAATATCGGTCATTCTTCTCACCGCAGAAAAGTGCGACTGCTCTCAGTAATAAGATGATCTGATTTGTTAGGATGTCTCTTTGTTCATGGTCAGTGGACACGATTAGTAACGTGAAAAGTGCAAGAAAGAGGGATATCCTCTCATACACAACGTGTAGTGTGTATGTCAGGAACTTCATGATTCCTGTTCATCTGGCCCAGAAAATAAAAATTTGGAAGGGATACCGGCGGCAGAGCCATTTCAACACAATAAGGAGTAAAGCCCGCCGTCATCAGGACTGTCGGAGAGATATAGTGGTGAGTGGTAGGTATGATAAGTACGAGAAAAGATGAGCGCTCTGTAGTGGAGGCTGCGTATGAGACGGTTAGGACAAAGCTTAGTTTTGACCGACTCATTTTCTCTTTTCTGCAGTAATAGATGGAGGGAGGGACGGTAATCTAACTATATTAGATTAACATCAGTTTTAGTCAGTCATGGTACGGATAACAGCAGGGAAAGGTATTAGGTTGAGTCATAAGTCCTCAGACAATGTCGAAGTGATGATTTTTACAGATCATAACTCGGGAAGAGGTGACGAAAATGGACGCGAGGGGCTTCGTTAGATAGAGTGTAAAAAGCTCTTTCAAATACGTACTAACTAGTACACCTGTCCGTCTCCTGCGCTTGATCGTGAGGAGAGAAATGCCATGTCGGCACGAAAATCCATGTCATACTGCTTCAAAGCATGAGGCACCCATCGACCAAGCTTTCGCACCTTGCCGATTGACTTCAATCCACGAATAATTGTGGATTGACTC